GGCAAAACCTAGAGGGTTGAGGGAAACAGAACAAGAGAAGGTATTCCAGAAAGAGGGAGGGTGAGCGCCACAGGAAGGAATGGGGCCGGGAGGAGGAAGGCGGCCGTGTGTCCGTCCACCAGGATTCTGGAGTCAGAGGGCGGGCTGGGCACAGACACGTGGGTCCTGGACACTCCCCACCCTGCACCCCCAGGCAGGAGACCGGCGGCTTCTGTCTGGTAGTTGGCCCCACAGAGCAGAGCCCCGGGATGCTGACACGCCCAGCATCCCTCCTCAGCCCCTGCAGTGATGTCGTCCCTCAGACATGGCCCTGAAAGCCCGGGAGGGTCCAGCTGCTTCCTAAGGCCCAGCCACCTGACGTGACCGGTGCTGCAGAAGCTCCCCCAGCCGGAGGGAAGAGGCAGAGCCGGCCGGACAGCGGCAGACAGGACAGGTGCCCGGACCTGCGCCCGGGGGAGCGGCAGCAAGAGCCCCTCTGGGTCGGGAGGCGCTGGGAGCACGAACCGGACGGAGACCCAGACGCCTGCGGGAGAGAAATCGGAGCAGGAAGCAGCCCGGGGTGAGCGGGCGCCCACTCGCAATTCATTGCCCGGCATTTTGATTTGCATTGAACACAAACTGTAAATAAAAAGAAATGGCTGGAAAAGAAAAGCCTAAAAACTCAGGCACAACTTGGGAGGTGGAGTTAAATGAGATGCAAAACAGAAGCAGCGGTAAGAAAACGGGCGCCTGCCCGCGAGGCCCTGCAGCCAGACGAGGAGTCCTAGAAAGGCCAGAGGTCGGAAAACCAGGGAAGGAGGCTCAGGCGGAAGGTGCAGGGGCGGCTCCCAAAGCCCGGGGCCCAGCGCGCCCCCGTGAGACCGTTCCCTCCGGAGGAGGGGACCGTGTGTGACTCAGACCTCGGCATTTCAGCAGCCCAAGGACAGACGCTTCCAGACAGAAAAACCCAAAACTGTCACTGCCAAGGACAGGGATGGGACAGCGTTAGTCGGGAGCCAGGCAGAGGAAGACAAGACAGAAAACACAGCCTCGGAAATGCAGGGAAGCATCGTTCTCAGGTTTCTCCACCTGGCCACGCTGTGCCTCGCAGGTCACAGTTGTTCACGGGATCGTAGAGGTGCCGCCTGGTGGTGTCCCCAGGGGTGTGCAGACCGGGCAGGGGACAGGTGAGAGGGCCCAGGGCGAGACCAGGCCGCGCCGCCCAGGCCGGAGCAGGGAGACGGGCCAGGAGGGCCCCGGGCACCAAGGCACGGGGTCCAGGGGTCCGACACAGCCTATGAGAGGCGCATGCGGCGTCTGCGGGGTTTTGAAGGCAGAAGCTCAGTAGGTACTGGGGTGGTTGGTTTGACGTGTCCACGGGCCGGGCCAATCCCCAGTGCTGTGTCTGTGAAGGGTTTGCAAATGTCGTTCACATGTACAATCAGTAGACTTTAAGGACCGAGGTTACCCTCAGGAATGTGGTGGGCCTCGTCCAGTCAGCCGAGGGTCCTCAGAGCCAAACCTGGGCTTCCTGGAGGAAGAAGGAATTCGGCCTCGAGACTGCAGTGCCAGCCTTGCCAATGCCGGGTTTACCACGCTGGGGCCTCTGGTGTCGGGAGCCAGTGTGTGAACTAAATCTCTCAGTGTGCACGTCTTCTTACATACATTCATACATACACACGTACACTCAAGCACCCCTGATTCTTTCCACTGGGGAGCCCTGCCTGGTACATGGACACAGAAAATCAGCAAACGAAGGAAGGGTTGTTAACTCCAAGAGAAACAACTCATTCGGGAACAGAACCGGTCACAGCCCCGTGAAGACAGCTGACACGGCCTGGGTTCTCCGCGCCAGACGGCGGGGACACTTCATCTTTTACAATAACCAGCCACCCTGTTCCATGTTTCACGCCTGAGGAAACGGGGGCACAGAGAGGTTTAGTGATTTGCCCTCAGCCACA